AGATGTGATACTCCAATATAAGTTTTGCTGAAATTTATATAATTCCTTTTAGATATTTTATGTGTTAAATTGAAAAATTGAAAATATTGGACTATTTATATATAAATTAATAATGACACTATTTGTGACAAAAATAATGATAATAATTTGATAGATTCTGCTAAAATTATTAATCAAAAAGCTAGTGGAATTATAAAGTGCTAAATTTGATCAAGAGAGTTCAATTTTCTGTTATTTTACTAGTTGGGAAGCCGGTTTTCGTTAAAATAAGTTAAGTCCCATAAAATGTTCAAGATGAACTAAAAAGTGAAAGAAAAAAAAGATCAATTTTATAAAAATTTCGATATTATAATCGAGGATTTGCAGAGGCCATCTCTATGGGCAATGTTGTATGCAGATTATATTGTGATGTGCGAATAAACTGTATTGTTGACAACACAACGGACCCGTATTTGGGCAGTTAGGTTGGCAAAATATGGAGAGGTCTGCATTGGACGGGGTTTCGGCCCGCCCGCTAAAAAATTTTTAAGAAAGGGTAGCCGGGCGGGTGGTTTAAAAAATTTAAACTATGGGCGGGTGGGTTGGTTAAGAAATTTAAGCATGGGCAGTCGGGTTAAAAAAATTTAAATCATTTAATTAAATATTAACAAAAAATTGTTCTTATGAACTTTTTTTATTAAAGATTAAAATGTTTTTTCTTGGTATCATAAAAACTTTACTACTTTGGTAGAAACGACAGGAGATTTTTATCAAGATTAGCAAGAAAAATATTGGCAATTTCTGTAACTAGTGCATCTTCTGGACGAGGATTGCTGGAAGGTTTTTAGAACAAAGAAGAACGTGTTTGAATCCAGAATTAGATTCATTATTATTTTTGCATTACATACAATAACAATTATATATATATATTTTTTTTAAATATTTTATTTGATTATCAATAATTTAATTTGAATATTTTTTTTATGCTTAATATAGTAATTACCTAAATTATAACTTTTTGTAGAGGTGTCTGAAATTTTTTTTATTAAATGCTTAAAAAATTGAAAGAATGACCATAATTAAATGTTATAATAGCGGGCTTGGGTTAAAAAATTTTAAATGATAATGAGTGGGCGTAAGAAATTTTAGACTGATGGGTAGGCGGGCGGGTTTAATTTTTTTAAAACATTGGGTGAGCATGGTCCAAAAACTCACCCAATGCAGACCTTTATTATGGACTCCGTACCACTTCGTCTAAGATAGTGCATTTGGCAACAAATGTTGCAGGTCGATGTCAAGAAACTATGCAAGTTGTCCATACCCGAAAGTTAAAAGTTTAAGTAATTTGGGTCCACAATACATCAAGACAGAGATTGTCATGAGTATAACGCTGATGCAGAAGGGTTGGATGAAATGGAGAAGCATATCAGGGGCGCTTTGCGACAGAAAGATGCCCTTGTGGCTTAAAGTTAAGTACTATCGATCTATCGTCAGGCCTGTCTTGTTGTATGGGTGTGAATCTTGGGCAGCGTGCTGCTGAGAAAAAGATATTGAATGTAACTGTAATGCGTATGATCAGATAGAGCCTATGTTACTCCAAGCTGGATCGTATGGCCTGGTAGCTTAATAGTGAGCACAAATTGAACGTTTCAAAACGTAAATAAAAAAACGTAAACCCCTCTACGTGTAAATTGAAGCGTTAACTTTTTTTCAATATGAACATTTAAATTCTAAACAAAAAAAAAGGTTTGCCCTATATTTAATTATCAACTTTTTGTAATATCATAATTCCATAAGCTAAAAATATTATTGTATCATTAATATAATTATTTTACTTTTGAGAAGATGTTGTATCATACTATCACTTCAAAATTTAAAAGTGTTTCAAAAAACGCAAGATATTTTGTTTTTTAATAATTTAAAATGCAAAACAGAATTGTTTCCAATTTAAACGAATGCATTTGAAATGCATTATTTGCGTTGCCGCGTTGAAACGTTCAATTTGTACTCCCTTGTCGGAAAAAATAACCGACTAAGATGGATAAACATATGTTAAGGACTGGATCAACCAACATCAGCAAGTTCTCGATCTTGAAGTTACGACAAACGATAACAAAATTGTCGTTGATATGGTCAAAGCCGAGGTATATGAAAAGATACCCGTTTTAAACCCAACTAGAATTGGAATGATAAAATAGAAAGATTATCGAAATCAAGATTTTATTAATAAACATCAAGCGGGTTTTTTATGATATGTGATTTTGCAATGCGAATACATTCAAACGTTTGGAGGGGTGAAATACACCATTTGTACCTAAAGTGATATTGACCGACTGGTGACTCCTGGGATTCTCGAAAAGATAGATTCTACTAATAGTAGGATACATTGAGTCAATCGCATAGCGGTATTTGAATTTGTGCTGCCTTATCGGTGTATTGTGTACCATTTTGTTATTCCTATTTTTGATGATTTGTTAGAGAAAATTTAAGATACAAATTCTTAAAGATGCCCAAATGCAAATGGAAGATAGATCATATTCTTAGGAATTTTAAACGATAGCAATTTATAAGGTTTATTTTAATTATTGATTGATGTTTTTTGGATAGTTTACCTACCATATTTCAGAGCATGCATGAATTGTTGAAAAGTTGTCAAATGCCCCACATATACCTACATAATATAGTTACTTTCGGTCAAGCCATAAAAAATTTACTGATGATTTAGAAGTTAAGCAAAAATAATCAATATGAAAATATTGACTAGTTGAAACAAAAATATTCAACATGAAAATATAAACTTATTTCAGGCTACTGGCGCCTTACAAATTATGACTAGTGTTAAAAAGTAAAGAATTATACTTTTGTGAAAAGTGACTACAACTGATTTAAGAAAAATATAACTAGTTAAATGTAAAAAGAGTATTTAAAATATACTATAAAAAATATTTGGGAGGTGAGGGGGAATGGGGTCAAATCTCAGGTATTACTTTCAATTTTTTTCGTGTATGCACTGTTTACATCAGGAGCTCGCGTAGAAAGTTTGTCCACTCTAAGGACTTATTTTGGGAAAAGGGAACACACCTTTTAGACACCCAATTTTGCAATTATAACACCAAAATTGGTTGAATAATAAATATTATATTCTTATAAATATATTTATACAAGGCAAATAAAGATTATATTGTCATATTTTTTTTAGTGCAATAAATATAATATTTTGGTATATTTTCAGTGCAACTATTTCTCTATTACAATTATATTATAGTTTTATTAAATGTTATTTTTAATATAATTTTTAAAATAAATAAAAGTTTAAATGAAGGAAAAAATCGGACTTATAATAACACATCAAAATTTATACAAAATAAAACTTTAATTACAACATTTCTTATCTTAGATTGTCTAGGAATATTGATATAATTTAAATATAAAATTTACCTTTACCTTGTTGTCGTGATCCACTGCGTAAAATAAAAAATGTGTGGCTTCTTCTTGTAATGATCTAAACTCGGACATAATATTTAATATATTTAAATCAAATATTATTTATTTTTATTATAAAAGAACGAAAAATAAAATATGTATCGAACAGATATCTCCAAGATAGTATCGATGTACTGATACTTTTTTATAAAAGGGTATCTAGATATATATGTTAGCGTCATTGTGTTATTTTTACAACTTTAAATCATTTTTTGAGCGCTTTTTTTTTAAATTTAAAAATCGGATTTTACCGGAGATATATTCCATCATATTTGAAATACCTATCTTATGAATTGTAGACAATTTTGCTTTAACCTTTGAGTCATTTATATTTTATATAAAAAATATATGGAGCCTAATATAAATTATATTAAATTTAAAAGTTCATGGAAAAATTGTTTGAGTTTCATATGGTATGTATTCCAAACATAATGGAATACATTTCCGGTAAAATCAGATTTTTAAATTTTTAAAATTGCGCAAAGTAATTTAAAGTTGAAAAAATAACACATTGCCGGATAAAACACATTGACGCTAACATATATACCACATTTTTGTATCTAGATACTTTAACAACTCTGTAATTTAACAATTAATATTGGCTTAAACTTTCAATTTGGGCTTAGGTTTGGCAAACTTTATACTTAAGGCTGAATCTTAAATATGAGATTTAAATTTATATCATAATTATGAAAATATAACTAGATTAAGAGATTTTAAATACTTTACATCCTATTAAATAAGCAGAAAAGAACAAATAATCCCTATAAAGAGCGTAAAATCATAAGATAAAAAATATTTTGAATAATAGAAAAGAAAAAGAGACCTTACTATTTGATGCAATTGATTTTTGAATTGCGATTCAAATCTAATATTAAGACGCAGCTTAAGGTGTACTGTTATCGTTTTTTTTTCACTTATAACTGGTTTCTGTTTATTAACTGGTATTACACATTGGCACACCCAGATATTCAGTGTTTCATAATTTTAATTCGGGCATTACGCCAATCTATTTTTATTTTGCCAATAATGCATTTTTCTAAACCTATATATACCAAACAGATTGAAGCATTTAAATATACCAAATATGCACTAATTATTAATAAAGTTTCAGAGTTTATGCTTAAATAAATTTGGCTGACTTCATGCTTAAGGTATGATATATAGTTTTGGTTAAACAAATTTTTTGGTCGATTTGTCATAAATTCCTCATTTTAGTAGATAAGTCATTTTTTATTTCATGCTGCAAATCTCTATCAGCTATAAGATTCATTGTCATGTGCTAACCCAATGTGATTCGGTAATATAATAAATCTAGATAGTTTATAAATATCCACGATACAGCCCAACTATGCTTGTTCTATTTTATCATAACTAAATTATCTAATCATAAAAAGATTTAATAATGAACTTTAAAAATTAGGTTCTAATAATTAATATGCAGAATACAAATAAATTAACGTACTTATACAATAAAAAGACAAATTTATTTGAACAATTATTCAATAAAAATTAATATGAAAATTAATTGCCACTAAAGTAAAAGTGTTACCAAAACAAAGCAAATTAATATTTTATAGTTTATAAACATACGAAAAGAAATTTCAATGAAAATTATAATTAAATAAACAACAAATTCAAATAAAACGAGAGCAATTTTATATATAATTTAAAATTTGAACGCGCAACTTTTTTATGTTTTGTTCCCATGTCCTAAGGTTGAAGTATAAGGTATATATAATGCTAAATTAAACATTATATCAACTGCTCATGAGAATATATGATATCGCCATTTTCTTAAAGATGATCGGAAGAGGGTGGCTTCTTTTCGCTATATTTTTTTGTGAAATCTTCGGCATTTTTGAAAAATTTTTTACGATCCTTGGTATATTCCTCGGCTAGATCTGTTCTTAGAGGATGTTCGGGTTCCGGTTCTTCGATCTAAAAAATTACAAGGATTTTATTCTTAAATGAAAGGTCTTTATTGGGTCATTTCCATGTCAAATTAGCAAAAAAATTGATATCTTCGGCCGACTTCTTTCAATTTCAATAAAAATTTGCAGGCAGGTTATATATGTTCTAATTATATGAAAAATGAATTTTAGCTCATCAATTATTTTATCCGAGATAATGGGTATTAAAGGTACAAAACCCGTCCTTTTTTTACCTTTTATTATGTTAAATATTAGTTTTAAATTAACTACTAAATTAGTTCGAATATTGAATCTAATATTAATAACTAAATCAATCATTGAAATTATCAGGGAAGCATCAAACTTAAATTTTTTTAAAATATTGGTCATCTTATGGCCATTTGAAACTTAATATTTCGAATAAATTATAAGCAATTTTTCAAATGTTTATTTTCTTTTATTTTTTTCTAATCATTTCTTCAATAATTGGAACGGGTGGAAAATTATTTAGAAAAATATCGCAATTTTTTTCAAGCATGATATTACTTATAAATCAATTTTAATTCCTTTAAATAATTTTAAACGAGAAAAAAGTCCTATGCATTGAATATATAGCGCCATTCAAATGTTTTTTTTATACACTATTTGCGATATTTTTTTAAATAATTTCCCAGAAGAAATTCTAAAAATTAGAAAATTTAAGCTCATAATAATTTCAAATTTTATGTCCAAATTATCAATTATTAACTTAGTATTAATATTAGATCGTATATTCTAACTATTTTTAATTTAAAACTATTTATTTAACATGAGTAAAAGTAGTGTTGTTAAACGGCTCGTTTTGAGCCGTTTTTAAAAACGGCTAACTCAATATTTTAGCCAGAAATAATATTGCCTAAGCCTAAATATTTCGATAATATATGTCTATTGTTCCTTCTATGAGCAAAATCTTCAGGCTTGCGTAATATTTTTTCTGGATGAAATATTGAGTTAGCCGTTTTTAAAAATCGGCTCAAAACGAGCCGTTTAACAATACTAAGTAAAAGGCTAAAAATACCGATTTTTGTACCTTTAATCTCCATTATCGCAGGTAATAATTTTTATCAAAATTGAAAGGGATAGGCCGAAAGGTGTCTAATTTAACATGGAATGATATTAATATAATATCAATTTAAAATATCACAAGACTAAAACTAATAGGGTAATAAGACAGAATTTTCCAATTTATGCCTCACCTTCCTCTATTATTTTCAATTAATTCTTAACTTATTTATAAAATGGATCTATTATTTATTTATATTGGCTTAAAAGTTTTTATACAAATAATTTTGACTTAATATTAATATAAAAATTTTCAAAAGAATTGAAAGTTCATGGTTAATGAATGGGCTGACATATGAATTAAATATCACAATATAAAAATCAGACCCTCATGCCGGGTCATTTTAATTTTTTCAAATATACCAGGGCTGGGCCAAAATTCTTTTTTTCTAAAAAATACCGGGGCAAGGCCTTATATTTTAAAACCTAATATTTTAAATCGACATTATTAGTGATAAAAATTAAAAATAAATGTAATATATTTTAAAAAAATCCGGGCCGGGGTATGCAAATGGCACCTCTACAGGTCTCAAAAATATTTGTTAATTAAACCATAAATTCAAGAAAAAGATAATATCTTAAAGCGCAACTCTTGCAATAAAAAAATAAGTAAGAGTCGAATATTGAACTTAAAATTAATAAATACTGCAATATTATAATAATTGTTCAAATTCTGTTATAACATCTCTATATGCGTAGTAGGCTCAAAAACGAATTCAAATCGAATAGTGCATTATTCATATTCGAAAACGAATCGAATAATTTACTATTTGAATTCGTACGAATAATAAAATCTACTATTTGTATTTGATTCGAATTAATTTTTTTAATAAAATAAATCATACTCAAATATATTGACAAATTTTTTTATTACAAATTTGATTTTAAACAGAAAAAATTATAATAATATGTAATCAATAATCTGATAATAAATAATATATAATCAAGTTATAAACAAAATTAAAATATATATTATTAATTTAATTTATAATTTAAGACAAGGCAAAGAGTGTTTCTTATATTTTCTTCCTTATATGCATGCGGTTTTTTGACAATAAATTAGTTCCAACTGAGAAAAGCCTTTCACAAGCAGTTGATGTTCCTTGTATAGATAGATAATCCCTTGCCATTTTCGAGAGTATGGGGATCCGATATGCATTTGCCTTCCACCACATTAACGAGTCAGTATCAATCTTTGCTCTTGGTTCACTCAGATAAAAATCTATTTCACACAGTTGAATATTATTTTGTTTAAAAACAATGTCTAGCCTATTTATTTTATCCTTATTTGTTTGACAGTTATAATTATGAGCTTATAAAATAAAATCATATTTAAATGGGGGTAAATTAAATACCTGTATATCTATTGTAAATCTCTTTAAATTTGTCCATTAACTTGGATATATCAATATCATACAGATATTGATTTAAAATATTCTACTTTAAGCCTGGGATCTAATATTGTGGTTATTATTGCATCATCGGCAGTTAAATTATAATATCCCAACAATTTATCACATGCTACTTTGAAACTATTGTTAAAGGATTTATGGAAACCAGGTTTTTCATTTTTTAGATATTCAAGAATTAAAATATAATAAGGTGTAACCAAATTATAAGTAGAATAATTCTCCCCACATACCATATTTGTAGTTACATATAAAGGCAATAGTATAGCTTTAATTTTTATAAGATCCTCTTATTCTTCCTATATGTTATCAAAGTATTATATTATTACCTAATTATAAATTTTAGTTTACCTCTGATATTTGTTTTTCTTGAAGAATTTTAATGTTAGTTATTACTTCATTAACTAATTTTGTTATAGCAGGCTTTAACAATAAGCCCCTTTCAATCATTTGACAGGTGCTATTCCACCTTATTTCACAATTCAAATTTGGTTTATAAAAATTTAGGGGAGGGTATAGGGAACTACATATATTTTTTAATAAATTTAATTTTTTAGGGGAATTACGAATCATTCTAATAATGTTTCTTAGTTTTAGAATTGAAGGGTCTAAAATTTCTTTGGATATTAAATTAATTACATGGGCAAAGCATCGGATGTGCCCTATTTTTATTAAGGGATATTTTAAAGAAAATGTATCAATAAATGTTTTATTATTAGTTGCATTATCTAAAGTTATATAAAAAAATTTATTCTCTAAATTATAATTTTTAATTATTTTAACAAAGGCTTTAAATATACTTTCACCTGAATGTGTTTCATTTATTGGAATGATATCCAAAATTATGTTATTTATTTTAAAATTATCATCAATAAAATGGGCTGTTAGCCCTAAAAAAGGAACCTGTGTTGGGTTAGTCCAAATGTCAGATGAAAAATTAATCTGACTTTTATTTTTAGATATTATTTCCTTTACCAATTGTTCTTTTTCTGCAAATGTATTATACATGTGCAATTTAAGAGTATTGGAGCATATTGATTTTACAGAACAATCAAGATCACTTAAAAATTTTTAAAATCATTAGAATTAATAATTTTAAAAGGAATATTATGATTTATAAATAATTTTAATAAATTATCCTTAAAATTAATTTTTTTTGAAGAATTTGGTGTAAACTTTTAAAAAATATCAATTTTATTATTTTTTTTACTAAGGTTTAAATGAAACCTATTATAATGATTAATAAGAGGAGATGTTGTTTTGCCTTTACATTTTATAATACTCTTGCAATGATTCCAAGCAGCCTTTTCACTATCTTTAAGGATTTGCTATTGATCCCATATGATTGCTCTCTTTTGTGAGGAAAATTTCTCATCTTCAACATCAAGCATAATTTCATCAGAAGCATTCTCCTCTAACATAATTAGGCTAGCTAACAATAATTATTGTAGAAATGTAATATATTTTTAAGTACCTCTGGTTTGTGTAATTTTTAATATAATTTATTATGAGATTCTAAAAATAAACTTTTCGTGAGATTCAAAAAATGTGGCAAATAAAAATTTAAATTTTCACTTCAGAAATTTTTAAATTTGTGCTAGAATTTTTATAAACACAAACACATCACCTGTCCGATTGGCAGGTCAACAAATAGAAATGACAAATGTTAGATTTATTAAACAATTTATTAAATATTACGAATTTCGTTTTATTCGAATCGAATAAATGATTATTAGAATTCAGATAAAACAAATAATTTATTATACGTATACGTAATTATTCGATTAAATTGGAATTATTTTTGAATAGGCTTAATGCGTAGGTATTGAATTGACTAAAATCTATTTAGTTATTTGGAAAACAAGGGGTTTCTTGGCAGAATTTCAAGCTTTAGAAAATCTTAAGATAATTTAACAGAACGTTTTTATCGTGCAAAGTCGAAGTCACCTTTTTAATCATAAGCTTACTTGAAAGTAGGCCTATTCAAAAATAATTCGAATATTCGATTCGATTCGAATAATTATGAATACGAATAATAAATTATTTGTTTTATCTAAATACGAATAATCATTTATTCGATTCGAATAAAACGAATTATTCATAATATTAAATAAATTGTTTAATAAATCTAACATTTGTCATTTCTATTTGTTGACCAGCCAATCTGACAGGTGATGTGTTTGTGTTTATAAAAATTCTAGCACAAATTTAAAAAATTTTTATTTACCAAATTTTTTAAATCTCTCGAAAAGTTTATTTTTTGAATCTCATAATAAATTATATTAAAAATTACACACACCAGAGGTATATAAAAATATATTACATCTCTACAATAATTATTGTTAGCTAGCATAATTATGTTAGAGGAGAATGCTTATGAAATTATGCTTGATGTTGAAGATAAGAAAATTTCCTAACAAAAGAGAGCAATCATATGGGATCAATATCAAATCCTTATAGACGGTGAAAAGGCTGCTTGCAATCATTTGCAAGAGTATTATAAAATGTAAAGGCAAAA